TTAATTTCTCTACATATTACAAAACTGCTTATCACACCAAGGGAACGATATAATTATTTTAGAATCTTGTATCTAATCAATTTTGAAAAAGAAGATCCTGCTTATCTCGTATTAAATCAATTTTAAAGAATAGCTGAATACCACGTCGCCTGAAACACTTATCATCACTGAAACACAGATCTATTATCGTATCAGTAAAACACTATTAATATGCAATGTCACCTGGTGGATCGTAATATCATTCACTATTTATTATACCTGGCAACTTCGCTCAAACTGGCAGCATGTTTCAGCACGAGGATCGCTAACGTTTCCGTTCCCGCGAAGATAGTTATCAAAATTATCAACGAGAAGTTCATATGTAGAAACGGGAGTAAATGATACTTGTCATCAAGTATCAGGTAATCCGTACTTATGGGAAATCTCTCCAGACGACTTCCGTTCGTCGGTACAATTTTGTCATAAACAAAGAGTGACGTATGATAGAGTAGAGCGTATGCTAATGAGAGATAAAAAACCGCTGTAACACATGTACGGAACATTAAAAAGCTCAAACCACATCAATTCGTACGTGTGGTGTTTTTCCAAAGATGTCGCTTACATCCGAATCGTAAGCCGTAGACTTTCGCCATGTAAGCATGTTTCTTCATAATTTGAAGTGCCTCGCCCTGTTCCACTTCCATGTCGCGCCTCACTTTGTCCATAAACTTCTTCATCTACGTTTTTTTACGATTTATGTGTACTTTGCAAAATGCTTACAAGCAAATTGTCATTTAACTAGACGATCGAGTACTTACTGTAGGAAGTTGATACCAATTTATATTGTACTTTGCAAAAGAGCCCAAGCTCATGAGCACGAACGAAACGTACTTTAGCATGAATTCCCTGGTTATGAAGACCACACACTGGAAAACGTAATGAATTATGGAAATATTCACAGAGGGGAATTTGACGAATATTCCTGTTCAATGAAAGCAAACATAATATACAACATATATAAGTTTAAAAAAAAAACAATTATATATAATAAGTTTTAAAAAAATACAATTTAATTTAATTTATTTACTGTCTCTTTTTTATTTATTTATTATCTGGACTATTCGTTATCAAAAATTTTTATGATCAAGGGATTAATAGAAACAAATCAATTGCTACTGAATTGAAAAATTTTTAGAAATATCGTGTAATAATAAAAAATATTTGTACAAGAATAGAAATTAAAAAAGAAAACGCGCCACGATAGTGGATCTTCAATTAATAGGTTCAGATTATGAAACCTTCACGCGGATTTAAACCGTTTACACATACGAGAAATATAACTCAAAATTTTAAGTATATGTGTAAAAATTTTTTTTTTAATTAAAAGAAGGTATAAATAAGGTATAAATAAGGATAGTGGCACGATTATCACAATGCAGTTACTTGAATGCACACTCGTTACTGTGTTCAATCGAAGGAAGTGTGAGAGCTACATAATAAAATAAAAAAAAAATTAAATAATAATTACAGCACCTGTGCCACGATAAAAATAAAAAAACTGAAACTGATGAAGCTGTTTTTCAAAATGGTGAATTTCGTGTTCTGATACGGCCAAAGTCCTATTACTGTTAAGAGAGTTCTAGGGAAACTATAATACGCCAGTGCTTCGACCATCGTGTACAATGGTTCAAGAACTACTGATTGCTCGCTCCTTCGATTTAATTTCCCTCTTTACCTCTCTTAAAGGTTTTTGCAACAAAATATAACAACAGAAATGCTATACAACCACCGGCAGAATGAATGACGCGACCCGTAATTATAGAATTATTTATTCATGTCCATGAGCGTTGGAAGTAAACGATCGATTGATTCTCTTCTACCCTTTGACTACAGAAATAGGGCTATTAAGAAAATTATAGGGGAGGAATTAAATAGTCTTCTCTCGGGACAATTTCTTTTCTCTCACATTTATTAATTTTGTCTGTGTAGGGTCTGCGAGAGAAATATTTCCCGATCGAAGTTAGTCTGTTTTGCTCGCTCGAGATGGAAAGAATTTATAGTCGAGAATGGTTCATGACTTGGACGAAATTTGATGTGAAGAGAATGCGAAAGAGTGATGGTGCCCGTGAGATATTTTGTTACGAATTAAGTGAGTGTTCATTGTATCAAGCACAGATTGCAATAATTGAAATTTCGGACAATCAAAAATTTCGTTATTTACACTGAAAGATATTTTTAAGGAAGACGTACTAAGATTTAATTTAAAACTGTTGAGAATATTGTAGCCGATATTAACATTTTGTATATCCATTTTATAAGATGTGTACAAGACTATATAACTTAATTAATAACTTATCACATAGACTTCATTTATTCTGAAAACGACTTTAATTTACAAAGTTACTTGCTGTCAGTTACTTTATCTAGACTTCTTTTTGGAAAAAGACACTCTTGGGAAGACAGATACATCAAAAAAATTCCCAGATGAAAATTCGTAAATTTCTAGAACAACATTCGAATTCATTGCTTCTTTGAGATTTATTTTCTATATACTTAGCTCAATATTGTCATGTCATTGCAAAGAATTCACTTATATGTAATCGTGCACGTTTACGTTGACAAGGTAACATTGTGATCATTGTCCAAAACATCCTGCACCAAATAATTTAAATAAGACATGTACGTAACAATGGAACACATAACTAAGATGAACAGCTCTCCACGGGTATTCAAAGCTGTATTTAGCAACTGCAGTAACTGTAGTTCAGTGTTTCTGTATTTCTTCAAATAACAGACAATTCACAAAGTTTCTAGAATATTTTGCTAGACATTTTAACAATAATATGATTCATCGCGTGAATAAAAATTTGCGCTTAAACAGATGATACCAAGTATCAATAAAAAAACAATTAGAATAGTTTATGTGTAATGTACGTAGGTTTTTAAGATCGTAAGCAAACATTTAGAAACAGAAATAGAAAATTAATGGCTGAACAATTGAATTAGTTGGAAGTTACAGTGGAAAATATTTTCTATAAAAACTGTTCTCTCGTTTGTTATCCAAATTCAAATATATTCAAATAATCACACGTTTAGCGAAAATGTCTATCTTACGAGACCAAATTGATTCTCTTTTTCATTAATTTTCTTGTTTTGATTGATTAGCTTTTTAATTTCTCTTAGGTATAATCACGAAGAATGTATTCGATCACGTGTAAAACTTTTTATAGATATAATGCGTGCACATTATTTACATGAAATATTTTTGAATGTGAAACATTCTTGCATGTGAAACATTCTTGCATGTGAAACATTCTTTCATTAACACTGCAATGAAGAACGATAATGATAATTATATTGGTAAATTTAAAAGAAATCCAAAAACATATATGTACAAATTACAAGATCATATATATTTCGTAGAAATCACAAAAATATTTAAACAGCGATCCACTATACATCTACGTATAAGTTTCTTTATCTTTTATTCTCGTAATATACCTAAGACAACATTTTTACTAAATATACGTTTAATATATATGATAACAAACATATCATAACTTGTTTTCACAATGATTTTCACATTGTGAACAACAACAATTTCACAAACAAACATTTTCACATTGATTTAAAGTTTGATTGGTCCTAGCTGTCCTTCGTTGCGGTGTAAATGAAATTCGAAATACTCCCAAATTCTTTTTCATGATAAGCATTAAAATATTTTTAAATACCATGCATGCATATACAAGGAGTATATAAAGTTTCCTTAACTAACAATTTCAAGCAAAATAGCAGTGTGCTGTATCACATGGTACACAATGATTCAGTGCCTATAATTATAACAGCGGATAGGAGGTACACGATTGTTTGCTATATCGCCATCAGTATTTCAGCTATATCAGCCATCAGTATTTGCTATACCGACAAGTATTTCAGTCTATGTATCTATCTAAGGAATATGCCACCGGTATCATGGGATCGAGATGTGTTCAGTGCTAAGAGAACGTTGACGATTTTAGAAGGAAAGCAAACCATCATCATCATTAACGTCGGTAGAGATGTCATTACTGTAATAATATTTTCTGTAATAATAATTAGTCAAAGATCTTGTACGACACTTTTTCTGTTAGCTAGCTATAGCACAATAATAGGAATGGTTAGCCAATTATTGTTGCATAGCCAATTGTCTTTGCAAATGGTGAGCCTGAGTCTACAGAATGTAAGTGGAACAATTTCGTTTGGCTGAATGAAGCTGAACAGCAAAATTAGGTCAGAAGATTCA